GTCTCTGCATCTCATATGCTAAAGGGTGCTTCTGTGTTAGTATCTGATGCCGAGAGTGACTGAGTGCCGAAGTGTTGGTATGTGATGTCAGAGTGAGACCGAGTTACATTGTCGGGCCATATTGAGAAGACATGTTGAATTAGAACAGCATCTCTCTTGTCTATAGCACTCAGCATTGTTGTTATTACTCCTCACTGGTGCTGGTGTGCCTCTTGACAACACTTGACAGGGCGGCCCGTGGCGCTGATTTGCTAATCGAGTTGTCTCGTGGCGTTTATCGGTCATTTTTTATTTCAGCTGAGAAACTACTGTCTCATGTCACAACGCCAGATGAATCAGTCAACTCCAGCACAGTAGATTCAAAGGTCTGGATCCAGGCAATAGATGTAGAGTAAATCAATGAGAACAGGGTGCAGTATGTTAGTTTTGTTTGCATCACTTGTGCCCTTAGGAGATACAAATTCAAGCCCTGAAAATGTTTTTAAACTTTTAAAATTTGATTTGAACTAGCCGACTATTGAGACACCTCATTGTTGATTTTGGAGCCGAATTCTGCTTCAACACTTTTAAATAACGCTATGGGACACTGATGTAAAAGCCAGGAGGTGTATTGGTAGCAGCATTCATAAATATAGGATATATTGCTACAACAACTTATAACTGTAATTTCAGCACGGTCCACAGTAATTCTCATACGAAATAAAATATTGATTAGGACTGATATAGAAAGTCTGAGTGGTACAAAAAAAAACAGAAAAAATGTGAGCTCTACAAACTGTGTGAGGTCTCAGCGGTAGCGCTGTTTACAAGAACTGAGCAAAAGGCACATGCAAAAACAAACTGCTACACAGCTATAGTACACTGTATACAGTACCATATGTATGGTCACGCTCCATTACATGCAAATACAGATGTGTCTGACAGGCACATGATGGTCACATCAAATGCACACAGTGAAACAAGCATATGTGTGTAAAATTCCTCTGAGACAAACTTATTTTTCAGAGACAGACCAAAAATACTCGGCAGCAGTTGAGTGTGCACATTTCCTGTGAACACATAAACACGAACACAAATAACTTGCTGTCACAAACACAAACGTGAAGTTTCCCCCAAAAACACAAACTCGTAAATACACATGAAGCCTCCAACAAATTCAGAACAAAACCTGCATGTTATCACGCTCTTCATAAACTCATACATATATGCATAAGGGTTCTCACATGCACACACGTGCGGTGTGGCTGTCTGCCTCCCACTTGCAGTGTTTGTGACGCATAGGAAAAGTCATTAGACCTGCACTTCCTCTCCAAACAGAAGAGAAAGAAGAAAAGACCGTCTTACATGAAACACACAGGAAATGTGTGGGTGACTGCCTGTATGTGTGTTTGTGTCCGTTTGTGGATTTGTGCACTTGCACGTGTGTGTGTGTGTGTGTGTGTGTGTGTCCTGGTCTGAAGTTCTGCCCCTACGGCTGGTGGCCAGCGTCTTGTAATTGCTTGCCTGTAATTGCTTTCATTGACTAGACGACAACCGCAATTACAACCAATTAGAACGCACAGCTAACGGTGGGCCCGCTCGGCACACAAAGGTGATCTTGTGGGTTTGGCATTTGTCCAAAGCCTCTCCCCCTAATTTTTAGATTTGACTGATTAATATAATTTTTAAGTGTAACACAGAGGTAATAATAAGATTATTCTGTATCCCACAAAACTGGCTGGACAAATTAATTACTGTAACACCTTTAAATAATGACTGATTTTAAGCTTTAAAAAAAATCATGCTGGGTGTGTTTTTCAAACAAGCAACAACGTGTAAAGCAACTGTACTCATATCTGGCTTCAACTGACTTCACAAGTTTCATTTCTCCCTTCACAAAGGTACAAACAGTTACAGCTTCTGCATGTTGTGAAACTCAAGGTTCTAATTGTGTAACTAATCACTTGACATGGAAGGGTGTGTGTGTGTGTGTGTGTGTGTGTGTGTTTGTGTCTTGTGTCTCATTCTATATGGGAGCTATAATTTTGCATAACATCCAAACCACCACTTCCTTGTGTTTCTGATGCGTGGGTGCATGCTGATCTGCATCATCAGTCAACATAAACAGTCTGTGCTACTGTATGTGTGACTGTATATGAATGTTATGTATATATTTATGTTGATTAGGTGTTTATACACAGTAGATAGATAGATAGATAGATAGATAGATAGATAGATAGATAGATAGGAGCTCACAGAAATCCAAAACAACAAAAACAGGAAGAGAGCAAACGCCAGAAAGCGGCAGAGGGTGATTCCTGGGGTTTGGACATCTGCTGAAGCTTCAGGAAACTCAATCACTTCATGACTGAAGGTGGAAGTCTTACCTGTCTGTATTAAATCATGCCAACATACAGTGTACACACACACAATGTCGTGGAGACAACACAGACAGGTGAAGGACAGCTTTCCTGACTTCCATAGGTATGAGTACTTCCCCTCACACACACACACAAACCAGCACAGACCGACACACACGAGTGGATTAATTTGGACACTGCGTCCCATCTCTGCCTACCTCTGCCATGAACATCTGTCTCCTGAGCAGGATCCAAACTGCTAATAAACATGCAAAGGCATGCCCGTGTGCATAGACACACATACACATGCACATGATCTCTATTTCTCTCTCACTCTATCACACATACACACCTCCTTCAGTCAGAAAAGATGGCTAAATTTGGCCCAGTCTCCATGTGTTACTGGTTCAGTATTTTATCACTGTCTTCACACACACCTGCACCCACAGCCACCCACAGCCACCCAGCGTCGCTAAGACATCCTCATCTCTGTTTTGTTTTGGGTGTTTTTGTTTGTTTTGTCTTGTTTTTATTCACCTTTGAGAGACTTTGGGAACAATCCATGGTCATACTGGATATTTACACTGATAATAATGTCGTAAGAACTAAGACACCTGTTTCCCTTAATATTCCCTGGGGTGTCACTTTCTTCACTGCGAACAGCAAACAGTGGCTCAGGTGCTGTTTATTGGCACGTGAAAGGGAAAAATTTCTGTGCGTGCAAAGTTCACCACTGAATATTCCACACAGAGTGGGAAATCCCCCCCACACAACAGCCAAAAAATGAAGCATGTGTTACTGACTGTAATATTCAACTTTTGAGCCTGAGGGGAACAGCTTGCATTACACTCTTCAAAGGGACAGCTTGAGTGTTTAAGGTTATACACTAAAATAGGTCTGAGGGATGTATGTGTGTGTCCCCTTCACAACCATGTGCTCCACATCCATACAAAGTTGTTTTTAAAACGTGGTGCACCCTGAAACTGATCTACTCTCTGATGAAAGGGGATGTTGTGGTGGGGCATAATGAGGGTAAAGTTCACAGCAAAGTGCAAACCAAAGAAGCAGGCTGACAAAATAGCACCAAAGTTAGTGAAAGCAGGGGTGCAAATATAGAGACCCAGCAATGTGTTGGGTGGACAATGAGCCGGTATGAGTGATTGCCACGTTGCCAGCTTTAATCAGAACCAGAACCATGAAACGGCCACATCACAACAGTTTTGACCTCTTTACACTGGCTCCCTGTTTGTTTTAGGATTGACTTTATCGATTACTTTTAAGGCTCTTCATGGCCTGTCTCTAGATTACATTTCAGACCTGTTAGTCCCTTAGTCCCCTTAGGTAGTTTTACATCCTCGGGCAAGCATATCCTGACTTTATCTGAGTTGTCTGTCTATTTTATCGCTATCTTATTGATGTTATTTCCTATTTATTATCTTGATTTTAGCTTTGACTTATTTTATCGTTTACTGGATGACATCTTATGACATGTTATTTGTTTTATTCTCCTTGTGTTTTATATGTGTTTAATTTTATTGTACAGCACTTTGTATCCGTGTTTTGAAAGGTGCTATATACATAAAGTTTATTATTATTATTAGTATTATTATTAAGATATGCCTGTGTTCAAAGAAGAACTCTCATTAAATTAAAAACAGTACCATTTGCTATGCCCACAAAAAAGGCAAACCCATCTACTTCATGTTTATTTTTTTGTAAAATAGTCAATAGCATCTATAACAAAAATATATGCTTATTCTATAACTATAAATCATGAACAAAAAATGTTAAATTAATAACTTCTTAATTCCTTATTTTCCTTGATATTTTTAAGATATGAAATGATAATTGCTGGGTAATATGCATATGTTATGCAGTGTCAAGACTTTGATCATGTGACGAGACAATATGTGCATTACCTTACTCCACTGGTATAAAGTTTAAATCTTTAAACATATCTAATACTCTCAACTCTCTCGTTTAATGTGAAAACATAATCAGTAATGTTGATTATGGATGATTATTTGTCAAACATTTATAAAAAAAATTCTGATAAGCCAACTCAGGCTGCTTTCAAACTGTGAGAATAGTCTAATTCTCTTCACTTTCACAATCAGACTTGGTTTTGTGGGTTTATGAAACAGGTAATAGGTCAACATTTCCTGTTTCTAACTGTAAACAACTCACACGCAGGCAGCGTTGAAGTATCATTTTGAACTTCTTGAAAACAGCTAAAATGTCAGTGTCTCTGCACATAGCCGTGGCTGGATGCTTATTGAAGCAGAAGCTCTGTTGCAATTTCCTTCTGTCAGTTACTTAGAATAGTTTTATATCTTCCAGGCCAGCACATACAGTAGCTGTTCAATATGCAATAGCTGGCCTTGCTAGATATTTGTACATTTACTTAAATTCCTCATGTTGGAGTCTTGTGAAATAAATTATACAAACTGTGCCCACATTAAATTAATACACTGTTGTTCATTATCAGGCTTTTCTTTAAAACACTGCTATATTACATGCATATTCAGAATTTATTTTATTTTTTTATGCATTCAATATCACCATCTAATTACATCATAAATGCAGGGACCACGCTAGCTGTAATTTAAAAGGTTATTAGTGTATATTGCCAGTAAAAAACACATTAGATTAGTGCCTTACCTTGGCAATCCAATTCCCCTGTACATTCCCATTGTAGAGGTCTGGAGCTGGCGAGGATTCCTCCAGTGTTAATTAAACCGTCTGTCTTGGAGAGAATTAAGGTCGTGATCTCCCAGACCTCACCACTCCCACACTCCCTGAGAAGAAAAGAGAGAAGAAAAGAGACTTAATGAAGGAATAAAAGGATGAAATGACTTAATGAACCGCCTAACGAGGCCTGCGGCCGTTTAATAAGGGCTTATTAAAGCTTAATTAGAGCAATAATCCAGCTTGTTTGGAGTCAGTCAGTGTTGACTTGTGGCTGATTGTGTTTTTATGGTAACTGCATAAACAAGGAAGCATTGTCATTCCTCAGGAAGGAAGACGAGTCCAACGGTGTGTGGGTGTGTGTGGGATGCAACAGAGAGGGATTCCGAGAAATGATTAGGTGAGGGCTTCAGGTGACCTTTCAATCACATGGAGGCCCTGCAGTCACCATCTGGTCACATGCTGAAGTTTGATTTACATTCACTATCTGAATCAAACACTCCCAGCTCTTCCTGAGCATTAAAACAACTAAACCCATTGTAAAAACCCTGAATACAAATACGGATTAAAAACATGTTGCTCCATGGATTTCAAGGTAACTCCTTTTCCAATACTTGAGGGGGGACTACCATTTTAAAATTCATACATGTTATTCCTATGGTCTAAGACAGTCCAAAAATATTATTGAACATGAACAACTCTGCTCTGCAAACACAGCCTGAATTGGTTTCGTTTTTAGCCAGCAAAAAAGCCCCTCTAAAAAAAAAAAATCAATATCAGTGTAAGTGTATCTTGTATTTAGAATATTTAAACACTTTACCTTGCCGTCAGACATGTTTTTTCCAATGGGTAATCAAAGCCACTACCTCAAAGCCACCAGCCTCCATTCACTAAAACAGTCATTTTCGAACAGTTGCTCGTCCACCGCTACCTCCATCAGTTAGTGTGTATGGTAAGGTCGGGAAAATATTCAGATTATCACAGATATTGATTTTTTAGGTGGCTAAAATATGTTTTGCTGTGACCCCAATCCACAGCAGTACATTGCTCTTCCATGTTGTTAGATTTAGTTTATTTAAAACACTAGCAAGGCAACACAGTACATAAAAAGTGCCCTCCTGGGAGCCAAAACGTGCACTAAAGTGCCCTCTTGGCAGCAAAAATGCCCTCCTGGGAGCCAAAACGCATGCTAAAGTGCCCTCTTGGGAGCCAAAACGTGCGCTAAAGTGCCCTCCTGGGAGCCAAAAGGCGTGCTAAAGTGCCCTCTTGGCAGCAAAAATGCCCTCCTGGGAGCCAAAACGCACGCTAAAGTGCCCTCTTGGCAGCCAAAATGCCCTCTTGGGAGCCAAAACGCACGCTAAAGTGCCCTCTTGGCAGCCAAAATGCCCTCTTGGGAGCCAAAACGCGCGCTAAAGTGCCTTCCTGGGAGCCAAAACGCACGCTAAAGTGCCCTCCTGTGAGCCAAAACGCTTGCTAAAGCGCCCTCTTGGCAGCCAAAATGCCCTCTTGGGAGCCGAAACGCTTGCTAAAGTGCCCTCTTGGCAGCCAAAATGCCCTCTTGGGAGCCGAAACGCTTGCTAAAGTGCCCTCTTGGCAGCCAAAGTGCCCTCTTGGGAGCCAAAACGCTTGCTAAAGTGCCCTCTTGGCAGCCAAAATGCCCTCTTGGGAGCCAAAACGCACTAACTTGAGTAGCCTGTCTAGTTAGTCTGTTTTAAGGCTATATAATGTGCCATTTGTATAACATATAAACATGTCAAAGTTCCCTCGAAAACACGCGGAACTTAGTGCCCTCTTCAGTGGCGAGAATGCGCTGTATGTGCCCTTTTTTTTCTTTTCGCCCCTGCCCTTCAAAAAGTCTGTGCACGGCACTGGTCGGACCACTTTCTTTCACTATATGCATTTAATGTTAAAGTTATGGCTGAAAATGACAACAAAAATAAACAAGTTTGCAGATTTTGCATTTCTCCACTAGTCTAACCGAAAGTTTTTTTTTAGCATGACGCCGCAGTGATTGGGACTTCATGGTTACATTTTCGGTTTCAGAACTGAGACCATTACAACAGATGAAAGGTTGTTCAGGTATAAAAAAGAAAACAAACATTGTCCACAAAATCAGTCTCCCATTCACTGTCTATGGGGCAGCCCCAGACTTTATACCCTATGACATCACAAGTTTGAGACTTCTTCTCTGCTTCTGGCTTTGAGTGAGTAGCTGATGTCTACAGGTATTAATTGAACTTTCCTAGGCCCTGGAAATAACATACTGGAATTCTTAATTTAGGGGGTGTTCCCCTTTCACTGTGAAATTTCTGCTTTTCAGATGCCATCAGCTAAAGCTTTATCAAACATGACACGTTCTTGTCTCTGTGTGAGTCTAGAGCTCAAAGCACCAGACATACTGTAGTTTCCCACATCATGTTTTCAGATCTCATATGAGGAAGTTGCGTTATGGACTTTGGCAAATGAGTCACGTGGTTTGTAGGACGCTACTGATTCAGGGGACTCCTTTCCTTATTTATTCAATCGCACAATACACAATGTGTCCTCTTTAGACATCAGCATGACTCACGTGAGTCAGACACTGAGCTACATTGAGCCTGAGAACACATCTAAAGCAAGTCTAAGGTATACAGCACACTTGAGGCTTAGGATTTCCATTATATAGACGGTGATGCCATCACCCCTCAGAGGACTGACTCAACCTCACAGCATGTTGTGTCCTACTTGTATGAGAATTCCAAACTGCTCTCATTACTATAGCTCGCCACTCTGTCTCTCTGACTGATTCATTTAAATCAGTGATTCAGAGCTTAAATGCCTGCAGGCCTTTGTGTGGGGTTAGCAATATCCAGCGGTCCCAGCAATGAAAGGGGTTACTCATCTTTCTCACTGATCATGGGAGAACCCACAAGATGACCCTGTCAAACAAAAGATACAGAGCCACACGGTATGTTTATGAAATGTTGCTTCAATTGAATTGGATGATAAATGTGGCCACCCAGTACTGTGTGTGCCTCACAAAGAGGCAGCACATGTAGACAGAGGATTGACTGTCCCAATTTTACCGACAGTCATGGTATGCTGTATGCCGCTGTGACCTCGTCATCTTTACCAGTAGTGCGTAATGATCAAGACTTCTAGCTCAGGAAGAGACAATCCACAAAGCTAACACGTATAATTCAACCTTTCAATGCAGTCAGCATTTTAATAAAGTACCAGTGTATTAGAAGCATAAATAACATAATCAAAATTTACTGAAATACAGTGAGGCCTGGTTTGAGTGACTAGCGAGCAACAACAGCAACCTGTCAAACTATTGTTCTAAATCCCCTCCAAGACAAACATTAGAAGTAAATGTTGCTGTTGAGACCTCCATGCGTCATGCCACATTCACACAACACAATATCAGCCAAATTCAAGCCTGATGCAGTGTTGTATGGTGTCGTGAGAGTCGTACATGATAATCCATTGTTTTATCTCATGTAGGGTGTCACAGTAGACGAAAACAGACGCCATGTCTGGGACGCCTCATGACGTCCTGACAGAAAGTCTAGCATGTTTGATTTTCTTTGTGTGGTGACGCGATGTCTCCCGTCACAGCCGTCACTTTGACCAATAGAAACACAGAGCGATATGCTGCCATGGACAACTATATGTCAACAACACCCCAGCCTTTTTGATATTTCCTCTAGGGATGTTACCACGACAAAGTAAAAAAGGAAAAGTGATGGCGTGAAACAGCAGAGGCACCGCAACCCGGTGAGTACTCCCATTAGCGTCAGGCTAGCAAAGAATGTTATTTCTTTATAATGGAAGATATAAGGTAATAAACTTCATTTCAAGCAGAGTACATTAGAAACTGGCCTTTATTTATTATTCCCTCCGTATTTTTCCTATTTTTATTTTTAATCCAATCCTGTTTGCCTTGTTAATGCATCACATCATCATTTCAAACTCAACACTTCCTGTAGCTATTTAACATTAAAAGCCCATTATAATTTCAGTTGAGAGAATCCTTTTATTGTGAAAACATTTGCAGGAACTCGTGGTGGAGGATTCAGTGACTTGCATAGTTTGCATGTGGTGCTTCAAATGTAGCTCCTGCCATCTGGTTCTGATTTTTACATTACTACAATAATGTTTTGGCTGGGACATGAACAGACACAGTGACTGATAGTAATAAAATAGGACAATAAGCCGATGACATCATGCACGTCATGAAAGACGACCAGGGATGATTGGTCACAGACCAACGTATAGTCTCTCGTGTGTTTCGGCCAAGTCACGATTTGATGACTCCACAATCACCTAATCTGACAGAGTGACAGTTGGAACAGACAAAAATATTGTGAAGTGTGAACCCCACATTATGTAAAATCTTGATTTGTGTGACAAGACAGAAGTGGGGATCCCTCTCAACCACTTCAGCACAGAAGGAGTTTTCTTGGAGTCAGCCTCTAGTGGTCATTAGAGGAACTGCACTAAGGAACAATGTTAAAATGAGCAATTAGCCTAATACAGCATGTTTTTGTAAGTGGGTACAAATGACTCAAAGACCCACACACGAAAAGAAAAATGAGGCACTGACACATATTGTGTGCTTTATGTATGACTCAGATGGAAGGCACGTGTTGTATTTTCTGATTAAAATGGCTTCTATAAAATCAATAACAGTGACAGGCATACAGTAGATAGTCACTGTGGTAGCAACATCCATGTGTACACACTTCCACACACACACCCCATGCTGACACATTAACTGATGCATATTGCCAGAGCCAGATTTAAGCACGATGACATCACCTAGCTGTCATCCCTCTGTGAAAACACACCACTTTCTGTAGTTGTGTGTGTAGGCGCATGCATGAGTGTGTCTCAGGCATTTTGGGCATTTGGCATTTTTTTCCTGTGGCACATCATCTACCAAAAATACACACACACACACACACACACACACACACACACACACACACACCCTCTCTCTTTCTCTCCTTAGGAAACTGCTGACAGCTAACAAACACACACCTTTCTAGCGCTGCGGTCATCATTTCCCACCATGCTGCCACTTTCAGGGTGCTAATCCACCAGGGGAGTTCAACACACTACCATT